TATATAAATCATTTCTCCCGCCTTCATCGCATGCCTTTGTGGTGCAATGGTGAGCACGCTCGGCGCGTATTCGAGAGGTCCGAGGTTTGAGTCCCGGCGAGGGAACTGCACATTTTTCACGATTCCTACTTCGAAATAACCTAATATCTCTGCAAATGAATATCGAGCAAAACGAATTACGAGCAAAACCTTTTCAAAAATTACAATATGCGAAACTTATCCAAATAACTAAGCCAAACTTATCCAGACAACTGCGAAAAACTTATCCAGATAGCTGTGCAAAAATTTAGACACTTCTATACGTGATAATTTAAGTACTTTTACACTTATTTCTCTATCTCTCTTTTCAGTACAGCGGTGACAGACTTTCAGGAGAGATAGAACACCTAACGATGTTAGTTTAGATACACCTAAACGATGAGAAATCGCATAGCAATACATGGTCGGAAACGCTTTTCTGGAGCGGTAGTGACGACACAAAACGCAAAAAAAGGAAGGACACAAACAGGGAGACAAAACATGTTTTATTATGTTTAGTACAGCATAAACTTGCAAATAAGAATAAAGACAAACAATGATCGTCATTAAAGAAGGTGTTCGAAATTATGACCCCAGGACCGTAATGTAGGCCTCACTTCTCTGACGCATGGAAGATCTGCATCACGAATGGAAGATCTCATGGAAGATGCTTGACGTGCGGTTCCTGCATTACGGTCCGAGTCGCAGTTTCGAACACCTTCTATGATGGGGATCGTTGTATCTTTATGTTGGTTTTTCTTTGTTTTTGTTGTACTCAGAATAATAAACATGTTTTCTCACCCCTTTCGTGTCCTTTCTTTCTTGAATTTTGTGTCGTCTCTACCGCACCAGCAAAGCGTTTCCGACCGTGCATTCCTACGAGACTTCCCATTGTCTAGGTGTACTCTACCGCTCCTAAACGTTTGTCCTCTCTGTGCTCATACACGCTGTATATGAATATAAATATTCGTATGCATACATATGCAGACAGATAATGAACCTTTCCGTGGCAACCATATCGTGTAGACAATCATCCTGAAAGTGATTAATATTTTTCAGAATATTAATATACATATATGGATACTGAACATCATACTGAGCATCGGTACTGAAACCTAAAATGATTTATTATATAAAAGACCAAAATTATTTGAAATCATATGTGATCACCTTAAAATACATTCATTGCAATTTCACATGAATATATGGCAGAATATTTGATGAAGAAGTATGTTATGGAATTTGACTAGAAAATATTTTTTCATCAAATGCGCAGTCACGTATATTTGACGAAAATCCTCGTGGTGATAACTTTCTGTAGATGGCAAGGACGTTCAGAATTTTTTCAAAGCATATACAGAACATTTCTCTAAGTCTAATGAATTTCAGGTATATGGTTTGGTTTATTGAGATTACAGCAAAGAACACTAGAGCTATCTGCCTAAGGATAGAGATGCCTTCGTGGAGAACTTTCTAAGTGAAATTGGGTTGTATACACGTAACACATGGGGAAATCCACGAAAACGCGCATGCAGCCAGCTCCATTGCCTGGAATCGAGTACAGGAGTGAACAACCGGTGTTCAGTTACTTTACGTCTCGGCCGCTGGTGTGCGCTTTTTACGTATATATTTGGTGTATTTTACGTACAGTATGAAAGCAAACACTTTCTCCCCTAAATGCTAATGCGTATTTAATGGCTAAATGCGCATTTAAAGGAAATGAAGGAATTTTCTTTTCATTTAATGTATTTTATTTCAAAAAGATTACGCAGTTAAAATGCTATTTTTTCCCATGAAACAAAATACAAACCGCATATTTTTTTCAATTAAATTATAAATTATTTTTTACTTATTACTTATTCCCTTTCTGCTCATTTTTATTAAACAACGAAATAAATTTTTATTTATGGAAACTCTAAAGTTTAAAGCGTAATCTTGCTTTAACTTTTTATATGTTAAATTAATTAAATAATTATTTTTTATTTTCATAAATTAAAATACAAATTTATTTCAATAAACCAAGACTTTTATTTTTTTATAATGTAAAATAATAAAATTAACAAAATACATATTAGTTCATTTTTAAACTCATAGTTTGGAATAAAATTTTAATAACTGCCTACATATTTGCAGTCATTAACAATCATTAAATTGTTTCTTAATAAACTGATTAAAGTTCGTGTTCTTTAATTCTATCAAGTCTAGCTGACCTGTATAATTTTCATATGACAACTCAGTTTACAAACTTATGTCGAGCTACCGTTGCCGATAATTAATCAAAATCATTAAATTTCAAATCAAAACCTGAAATGGAAAACTGGATGACAATACATATTTTTAGTATTTAGCAAGTTAAATATTATAACCATAATTTAGATTTACAAACAAGTAAAAAAGAAGAAAAAATGCACAAGAATTAAAAAAAAGTTTTGCAGACTAACAACATAAATAACAACTTCAAATAAGCATTCATATTTACAGAAATATATAGAACTTAATCTGTTACTGAACAAAAATAATTTACGAGAACTACCTAAAGAGAAATAACCAAACATTAAAATATTCAAAGAGAAATAATCTAAATGTAATATACGTAAAGAGATGTACCTGAGCAAGAATGACCTGATAGTATTATATCTAAAGAGAAAACATTTTCATAAAATATGTCATAATTTCAAAGTAAACGTACCTAAAGAGAAAATACGTTTTAAAATTTTCTGCCTTATTTTGAAAATATTTCTAATTAGAAATACGTGTTTAAAATCAATAATGCTATTCTTCTGATCTTTTAAATGGGAATTACAAGAGTTGTGAGTTAAACTTGCTTACACAAATCGTATAACTCAAATAGCAAACTGTTTCGGTACAGAATATTAGGCCTAATATAATCGTTGATGCGTAACAACAAAAACTAAAGTTAGCTTCGTAAAGTAGCGCTAAATCCGAGTATAAAGAGACTTTTGCAGGTGTACAGCAACTGGCTAAAATCAACTTAGCACTCCAAACCCCACTTGAAGTCGAAGCAGATTTGAAGAGTCCAGAGTTCCTGAAGTGTCGTTTGCTACTAAAGAGGCCACTTCGTACAACAGCCCTCCCTCTGCAATTTCAATATTCTTCTTTTTAGGCATCCTGGAGGTCAACACAGCTGGATCGTTGTCTATGGCTCACGTTCGTCACTCCTCCTTGAGCTATAAAAATTTGCTTCTGATAGATTGTACTCCAATTCAAATTATTGTACCCTTCAAATGGCTTTAATTTTTATAATATTGTTTCTGGAATAGTTTCAGACTTTAAATTTATATATTTGATAAACTTTAGATTCCTTCTGTTATTATTGAAAGTCAACAAATTTATTCGATTATTATTTATTCGAAGACCTTCTGTATATAAAACACATATTACTTTATTTATTTGTCAAATACATAAAACCATATTAAATTACTTCCTTTTAAAAACATATATGGGGCTTTCATAGTCTTTTGCGTAGCATTTATTAAATGATAACACACAAAGAGGCAAAATACCGAGCATAAATTATAAAAGCATCTAATAAAATTTATTTTATTTGTAAGATAAATACATAAAACAATATTAAATTATCTCATTCTTAAAACATTTAGGGGATTTGATAGTCTTTTGTGTTAGATTTATTAAACTGTTAAAGTATAAAGGGCTGAAATACCGAGTGTAAGTTATAAAATCTACATTTGGCTACATTTATAGCTAAGCTACAAGGTTTGGTATTAAATTTGCATGTTTATTAATGCATGCTGAAATATTACTCTATTTAAATATACCCTCAAAGGCCAGTGATTAAAATCACTGAATACTGGCAGTATCGCACAGAGTTAAATCCCGAAAAATGGGCTATTTGTATGGCTGTTTACTTAATTTTCCCCGTTTGCTACATAAGTAAGAAACCCGTTTTCCCTAGAAGGTCCTTCACGAATTCATCTCTCCCTTTAGGCGGATAATTATCTTGTTCTATGCAATATTCAAATTTATAAAATAATAATAAATAAAATAAAATAAAATCTGGAAGGTTTCAGATTTTAATTAAAGTTCAAAGGTTTTTTTTAACATTTTGTGTGTTACCTTTATTTTTTAAATATCATGTTCTTCACATTTAAACCATAAAACTCAGTTCAAGAGCAATATCTCAAAATAATTTTAAATTGAGCATATCTTTAGAATTTCCGATACACAGTCTCACGCGCTGGAGATAAAAATGTTTTTTTCTGTACAACGTTGCCATCACTCGCTTTGAATTGAAATTCACCGCTGAATGTCGACATTCTCCAGATTTCGGTGTTTCACCGTAACATATGTTATTCATTAAACTGTGAATGCTTATGTAAAAGAACCTTTCTGTTTTAGTCCCACTTTCATTTTCATTTTACTCTAATGGAATACATTTATAATCGAATCAATTTTCTTGCGTTAATTATACGTAATTTATTAACTATAGTTATGAAGATGCAATAAAGCAAAATTTGGCTGGCATTATGTAATTTACCCACATTCCAAGAAATCTCATCCTCACCATTAAAGTGATTGAAACCCGTCAGCAACAAACGCACGGCACATGGGCATCTTGTGCGCATGCGCAGAGCAAGCACCAATAAGAATCCAACTGTCAGCCACGTCATCACGATGGCCGCCGAAAATCAAATCGCACTTTATTGACACCTGGCGCTAAAAGCTTAAACAAAGTGCTGTATAATAGGGGTTTATACTAATCCCTATTGATCTAGTTCATTCACGCTTTTCTTGAGATTCCTCTTCCCCCTCACTCTTTTCTCCCCTTCTAGTTTTTCTCTGCCCTATTGGTGGATTCGATAGGGGTGAGCATAAGAGAAGACATGATTCTAGTTTTTCCCTAATTGTCACACTACAGAACTGTCGTGTCAAATTCACTGTCATTTCTATTCCCGATACTAGGGTAGCTGTACTCAGCACTCGATACACTCAGCTACTGAGTAATGTACAATTCGGCGTCTCATCAGGTAAGTGATTGATAATTTCACTTTGAACTAAGGAAGTTTAGTTAAGAGGAAAGGATGATTTAATTAAAACATTTGCAGCTGCATCCCGGAACCAACTGAAATTATTTTATATTTATGTTTGGCTGATTCTGATACATGGCTTCTTTATGTGCTAGGATTTTGAATTGCTACTTAAAAACATATGAAAGCACCCTAAATATAAATAAGCACACATAAGTAAGCTTTTAAATAAGACACAACTGTGCTCTCAAATACACTGTAATTAACGTAAAAAAAAAAAAAAAAATTATTTATTTTGAAAATCAGAAAAGAGCTTTATTCAGCTTATAAAAAGTGGAAATCTTTGCTGTTTTAAAAATTAATGACTTCGTAAACATTATAAAAGGAAAACGAGTATTATTTTTTTATCTCAAAAATAAATATAAAGAATCATGAATTGCAGAACTTAACCTTTACTAAAAACCTTTACTGACCTTTACTGAAAATTGCTTTAAACAAATACTTTATCTGTACGTTATAAACTTGGAAAACGAATAAAGGTTGCAGTTTAGTAATAAGGGATAATATTTTAAGTAAAATATTTTTTCTGTCTGACTTTTCATTCGCAGCTGCTAATCTAGTTTAATTTATATGTACTTTTATTCCATCCTTTCTTAAATGGCATACTAAAAATTATTTCTAGCAGGATGGATTTATGTATGACAACAAAATAAATAAGAAGAAGAAAAGAAATTAAAATTAAAAAAATTCTCATTCTTAACAGATAAAGTTAAAATGGAGTAACAGATAAATTCAAAATTTCACAAAAACCTGTGCTTTTATATTATATCAAACGTTACATGCGCGGAGAAGAGATATATGAAATTACTAAAACTGAAAAATTGTTTTAAATTACTAAAACCATGACACAATCTGAAGATAAATTTCAAATAAAACAGAAGAAATAACATTTGCACAGTTAGTAATGGGATTTATGCTGTCATTTGCTGGCATGTGTTGGTATCACTGTAGGTTCTGAAATTGATACAGTGGGTATAAAAGGAAGAAAAAAGAGAATTAAATGTTATTAAAATATTAATCTGTGTGTTAAATTTGACATGATATGCAGAGAAGCCATAATATGTAAATAAAATTATATAGAGCATTTTATCTTATCTGAGTTACAAACATTTTTAAGCTAAAATAAATGTATAGAATTTTACTCATCCTATTCAACTTATTCGTATAAAAATATGAATATTCATTTCGTTATATGGTGGCAAAAAATCTAATTTGTTTATAAACATGTATGTGCTTAAAATATCGTTAAAATTTGAGTTTTTACCGATAAAGTAACTTTTCATCTTATATTAGCTTTAAAATATTTATGCACCTGCAATATTAAGAGCAGGGAATTTTTATTCCCTAGTTAAGTGTTAAACGGAAGTAGAAAAAACTTACGCTGATTTTTTTGGTATGCAGATTTCTGATGAAACTTTATATTTTACCTTTCTATTAGTTTACAATTTTGAATTTTAAGTTTGAAGGATCTCATATTGTATTGTTGTAACATCAAATGATTACTTTCTAAAACTATATTTTAAAAAAGTATTACAAACAATATTCAATATAACTTATACTAAAAAATACTTGTAATAATATTCAGTATAACGTATACTAAAAATACCTGTAATAATTAATTTAATAATACTTGTAATAATTATTTTAATTCTGCCTTTTTTAAACTAATTTTTGTAGGAAACAAACGAATAGCTAATAAATGACGATGTGGGTAGTAATAATAGTGCATTTTATATTAGTCATTCTAGGAAGTGTAAATATTATCAAATATTATTTAGTCATTATGGGATGCAGTTTTAGAAATACATCAGTCGGTATTCGCACTTTTAGAATGATTCAAAAATTGCTTTAGGCTCTTTTAGTAAAGTACATGCAACTTTTAGAGAAATTTTTATATCTTTTATATATATATATAATATATATATAAGTGCCTTTAATAAATAACATGAAAATTGCTTTTTTAAATATCAGTAGATTTATCAATATATCATTTAAGCTCAGCTTTAACATTTGTAACATATCAATTTACAGTATTACATCTTGAAATAAATACAAATTCGGTACAACTTACTTTCAATCATTAAAATTAAAAGATTGCTTGCTTAATATCTGCACATTACGAAGCATATAATAAGCTATATAGTTTTCAAAACAATGTGCTAAAATAATAAATAAGCAGAAAAGAACGCAAATGATGTTAATTCTTACTTAAAATTGCTTAACTTAAATTTTGGTTATTCGTAAATACTTCTTCAGCTTAATTATAAAAGTTTGTTCCTAATCAGCACTTTGGGGTTTTCCTAAAATGTACAACTAGTGTTAATTAAGTAATTAAAATTGGCTGTTGGGGTAACAGCTTATAAAATTTATATCAATAAATTTTTATTAAACGTATATCATAAAAAGATAAATTTAAGAAATATAAATTTTAATTCATTAAGCCATGAACATTTTGATCATAAACTATACGTTAACTCTGATCATAAATTATAGCATCAATGGTAATTTAATGATCCTTAATAGTTTGAGATAGAAATGTTACATCATGTTATTAGTGAATTTTACAGAAATCTATGGCCTTCTTGCTGAAAATTATATGAACATTTCGTTCAATACCTTAAGTAAATGTTCATTATATGTTGCAAAATAAATTAATAAATAAATAAAAACAATAAATTTCATTTCTAAAATGTCTTCAAATTCATTTATCAGCAATAATTTCTATCAAATTAAATAATTTGTTATTATGATTCTTGCATTTTTCCCACTTCGCTGCTAATTCTAATGTGAAGCTTATTTTCATCTTTTAAGTTAATACTACATATTTTATAATGAAAAATAATTGTGAAAGAATTTATTGCCATTTCATTGATTCTATAAAATAATAAAATTTGATTAGAAACTGCATCAAAAACCGTTACGAAGCAGGAATTAAGTTTTTAAATATGAATAAATTTAGAAACTTAAAAGTACATCATCATGAAAACATCTTTAAATGAAAACTTAAAAGTACGGTTTGATTGAAAAGGATTTTCTTTAATTTTTCATAAATATAAAAAATTAATTTTCATGATACATATGAGCACTGAAATAATTTTTTTTCTGTTAAACTTTAAATTTAGAAATAATCATTAATTTTATTTCTTCTGCTCTTAATTTTGTTCAACTTATTGTATTTAGAGTTAAATCCTTTGCTAGAAAAGAAACAGTTTACATTTCCAAAACAACTGAGTCTTTTCTTAATTTTTCAACTAAAATTACATTCTCTTAGGTCAATTTGCATTCATAAGCCATTCTTAAAGATTTATACTATTAAAAACCCTCGGCTGAATTTCAGGTAATGAATTCGAAAGAGAAAAGAGACTTTTTGAGACAAAAAATATTAATAATTAAAAATAACACCAGATTCGTTTATTTAAACTAATCAAGTATTTGTCTCAATCAAAAGACAAGTTAGAAATAAGATACAACATCATTCTTCTCTCGTCACCAAGTGGAACTACATTAATAAAATACATATTCAGCTTTTAAAATGAGAACCGAACTCCCTATGAATCATGTAATTCCCTTACTCTTGAGTACTTTTGAGTGCTAATTTAGATCGCCTTAACTTCCTTTACTCGAATAGCAGGATTCTCAACAATATCCGCAACGACCGTAGAGTTGATTCAGCACTCATCTTCGGAGCTAAAGAGTAGACTCTATCACTTAAGTAACTTTCAACCCTATTCTTGTTGAAACACTCATCTAAAGCAATCATTAGAATATGTTATCAAACCTCTTTCTCCTTCTTTGAATAAATATTACAAATTGCTTCGAAACAAATATTAAAAATATAATAAATTTTCACTGTAAATTGTGTTAAGGATCTTTCTAATGAAGTCATTCTCACTGAAATATATTTACAATTTAAATGCATGTTATAAATTAAGAGTATTAAGAAATCGAATAAATTTTGTGCATATATATTGACAAAGTTATAAAAATATGGAATAGTAAAATAGCATGCAAGACATTTGTGAAGTTGCTCTTAGAATTAATTGTTTGCTTTCCTTTAGAGTTGAGCTGCGATGCGGTAGAGTTGTTTAGAATTGAAATTTAATATATTAATCAACGAAGTATTAAGCGTGTCGTGTTAAATATCTTGTGGTATCGTCGATTTTTGTCCACGATCAAAACTGCCAAGCCTTCTGACGTAAAATTATTTGTTGTTGCAAATAAATGATTTTACATTACTTTCTTCATATGTTTTGAAGACAGATCTCTTTAAGAGAACACAGGAATTGAATTAGAGACTGAATACCATTTTTTATTCATTAACAAATTATCTACCAGTTAATTACTAACTTTTCACTGTTTGAAAATATTTCAATGAACCTATTCATGGCGATAACTTCCTTAAGATGATCCCATCTAAATGTAAGAAATATTTTCCTAAAATATTATAACAGGTTGGAAACGTCAGTAGTTGTCTTAGAGAACTTTACTGTAGAGTTTTGATTAAAATCAAACGATAAACTGCATGATTGATGAAATTTCCCCAATTGCTAACTTTGTATTCCAAATTAAAATTAAGCTTGTATTTTCTCCTTCAAAGAAACAAAAAGGCATCCACATGAGGCAATGCTTCTATGGACTCCAATAAACAGCCCTGCAGTATTGGGTAAAAATCTGTAAGATATTTTATGTCAATTAATAAATTATTATGATTCAAGCCCTTTATAACTTTCTTTTCCGTATTCCTCACCAGAATGTAAATTAGATTTGTCTGTTAAAGTAAGCTAAGTGTTTTGAATGGTTAGATAAGGTTTTCTGGCAACAGTGTCTTGCTATTACTTATTCTAGCCATTCCTGCTTAAAGTTATATTTCGACTTTAGCGTTTTGTTAACCGATGTTTTAAAATATAAGTCTTATACTATGTTATCAGCTTTTGAATTTAATTGTGTGTTATGTTAATGTAAATATCCACAAATAGTGGAAGTTTCGTCTGTAGTACAAGTTGTACCTGTACTGTTCAACTTTAAACTAAATATTTTAATCTTCTCGAATATTTTATAAATTGTTTAATACGTAAAGATAACTCAAAATTACTCTAGTGTAGTCTACAGGATTTGAACTCTGGCTTCTAATTACAAAAGAAACCCTACAAGCCCACTAAACTTTTCAGTATCAAAATAAAATAGTGGAACACCCTAGACATGAAATAAAAAAACATAAAAAAATAGAAAGTTTCAAATTTAAGATTTTTTTACCTAAAGTTATGATTAATATTAAAAAAAAGAGTAAAACTGTCAAGACTTGTACGAGAAATGTAGTCATCTGAAGAAAATGTTAAAGCCTGGCTATTGAGAAAATAATGAATAATTTTGGTCTAATTGCTTCATTGATCAAACATTTTTGCATATCTCATACATCAGAAGTTTTTAAACTTGCCAATACAATGTTTTTCTTTTTTTGACGGCTTCCTGAACAACTTCGACTTTTTAATAAACATATGTTAACGATTAATACTATATAATATCATAGTCTCATGTTAAAGTTAAGCAAAACGGATAGGCATGTTAAAACAATAACACAGAATAGAATAATAATATTGCATAATATTGCGATGTGTAATTGTGCACTATACAAGAATACAATATATAACAAACAAGTAAATAAACATAATGTTCCAGGATTTCTTCCATTCCCAGTAAACAAAGCGCGATGTCTCATTTGAGAGACTGTGCCTTGCAAATGCAATACAATGCATTTAAATCGCAAAACTAAGAGAGTGAAGCTACGTGTCACATTATTTAATAATATGAATTATTATATTGCCATTAATATATCTTTTTATGTATCTCCAATCAGACACTAGGAAGAGAATTTAAGATTCTGTTGAATTTTAAAAATCGTGGAAGTTCATTGATATCTACTTAAACATATACTTTACAGCAAAAATGAATAGAAATTAGGTAGGAAATAAACTAATATATAGGCCTCTTTTCATACAGCAATAGGTAAGTAGACATAAATATCTTCTAACTCATTTAGCTATAAATAAATAAAGATACATATTTATTTATTTATTTAAAGATACATTTAAAATTTGTAAACTAAATTTAAAGGTTTTCAAGACCAGGAAATGTTATATGAAAGTAAAATATTCGGTTTTTGATACAGCTAATTCCAAAAATACACGTACTTAAGCATAGGATCATATGGAATGGGCAATCAAATCCGTGATTTCCATGAATCATGAAAATGTTTATGTTTTGAAAACTTGAAGCTTCACATTTTCCGTCATTGAAAACTTTCGCATATTAACATAAAAATGGCAAAATTGTAACTAAAAAAGAAGGATCTTTCTAATTAGCAGTATTCGGAACACAAATACCAACTCGAGGTTACCCTGAATGCTACACGTTATTTCAATATGTCATCTAGCAAAATCTGTCGGAATTTTTTGCAAATCGCTGACCATCTCTTCCTTGAAAATTCAACAAGTTCTGGACATTAATACTAATGGGTCCTGGATATTTCTAGGAAATTTTGCCATTATACATAAATACTGCGCTAAACACATAACTCCGGCTGTTAACCAAATTGAGCTACACAGCCACGGTTATGAATTTTAAGCTATTAATTGAAATCTGCACTGTTATTCCGATATGTTTTGTTAAATTTTGTAGAGAAAATCTTAAATTTGAAGAATTTTAATCATGTACTTCATTTGCTACATATCATCTTGTAGAGATATTAGGTTATTTCGAAGTAGGATCCCAAACACTGATGACAAATGAACACACTTCTTCCAAACACAGATGACAAATGAACAATGCCCTCACCGCGACTCAAACCACGGACCTCTCGAATACGCGTTGAGCATTCTGACCACTACACCAAGAAGGCATGCTAAGAAGGAAGAAGAAATACCTTATAATCTTAGTACACGCATGTTTATTTTCAAAGCTCTCTTCTTAAACCTATTTTTACATTAAAAGCAGATTTCAGTTTTGCTTAAATTAAAAACTTTGAAAATAGGTAATTTGTTTTCTTTTCTTTTCTTCTCTTATAACTGAAAAGAAGGATTCGAGTGATTTGAGTTTTGAAAAGATTCGAGAAAATTTAGAGTTCATGTCCGGAGGTAATCCCAATAATGATCAATTTGGATTATAAAAAACTTCCAAAATGTGCTCCCATGTTAATAGTAGAAAGTGGAAAACTTCTTGACTGTAAAGTTTTCGCTTTCGAAAACAGAAATAATGTTGCGATCCATAAAATCTGCTGTTGATTTAAAATTTTTTCTCACTGAAATTAAATATACGATGTCAAAAATTACTTTAGTAAGCAAGATAAACTTTCATATTTTCAGGACGGCATCCCAGGATATCCAAGTACGTATGCTACTCTTGGTGGCTCCCGATATTTATCCCTGAGCTCTTCTGCTCCCTTAGAGACTGTATTCCGTCCGGCAGCAACGTCTTTCTATCAGCCCTACGTGCCATGGTTGGCAAGGCCATATACATTAGAAGGTTAGTTTTGTTACACTAAATAAAGGCATAAAATGCAGGTATATTTGAGGGTTTTTGAAGAAACTTAATGGCAAATTCTTCAATTCATGTGTCTCAAATTATAAAATAGTTAATACAGATTGAAGATGAAGTGAAAGGGAGGACTGAAGAATTTTAAAGTAATTTTATGTAATGCCTTAATATTTTTTTGCAATCATAAACTCTGATAAAATTACTGGTGTTTCAGATAGTTTCGTATTTTTCATTGGTACGAAAATATTTCCTCATATGAAATATCAAGCTCCTGTTTTAATTTATTCTGATTTTAAGGACGGTAACTTTAAAGTGGGTAACGTGAAAGTTATTGTAAATGCATAAAACAGAACTACAGAATCCTAGTTCTCATCATATTTCTTTACTTAAATCCATTGGATAAGGAAAAAAAAAGCGATGTTTTTCAGCATATGTAATAGTGTTTACGTATAACTTGTGGCAAAAGAGTATACATGTAAAGGAGCTGTTGCAATTTTGAGGGGGGGGGAAACAAATGAAAATAAAAATGCATTATTCCTAAGAAATTTATGTATAATGGGAGCACTAAAATATAAATCCAAACTTTTTAACTGGTTTTAAGTGACCAGAAATTTATTTTTATTTACTATTAGACAATTAAAAAATTTTATAATTTTATTGCAGTTCTTCTTCCAAACACAGGGTGCAAATTTCAAACTTCAGATATTTCTAAATTTATTTCTATTTTTATTTGTATCAAACTGTATGTTATTCAATACTTTTAATTTTTGAAATTCAATGTCATTTAATATGCTCATTATACTGGAAAGGAAAACGAAAATTATCTGATTAATGGTCACATAGTTGGAAAGCGATATATTACAGCTTTTGCAAAATAAATTACAACAAAAAGAACAGATCGAAGAATAAAATTGAAGATACTAATAATTAGCAGCAAGAATCGGAGTTCTTGTTAAAAGATGCGATTCTTATCACTAGTTCTTACGTTATTAGTATATTTAGTAATGAGATACGAATTAAAGATCAAAAGTTAGTTCCTATTTCAGTCCAAATGCTTTTTCATCAAAATATTAAACTGTGCTTCTTTTCTCCAGATTTTCGAAATGCAGCCAGTACCCCTTTGGGCAAGCACAGACGAAACAGAACAGCTTTCTCACAACAACAACTGTCAGCTCTGGAACAAACTTTTACAAAAACACAGTATCCTGATCTAGAAAGTAGGGAGAACTTAGCTCGGAAAACTGGACTCCCAGAACCAAAAATTCAGGTAATGTTTTCTAGAGTTTTTGATGGTCTTGATATAAAATGCTTTCTCAAAGGAACATAAAAAGTTTAAATAGCAGATATAAGAGATATATATCAATTTAAATTTTACTAACATGTAAAATTCCACAGTTTGTAATTAATTTGAAATGAAAATGCTCAGTATGCAGATGAGAAAAAAGACGCCCGGTCTTTAGCAATCAGCAGCAGAGAATTGAATTTTCCTTTAGAAATTAACGCTAAATTAAGGAGAAAAATTCATAGTTCTCCTTAGTTAGTCCGTGTGGATTCATGAACTAAATCCTCAGTTCATGAATTCACACGTTCCTGGGGGCTGTTTGTCACCCAAAAGGTTCGTAAACCGAAAATATTGTTCCCGATTTTCCACAGATGATGTCTTATTTCAAATTTGTTGCTGTACCTCGTGCCCAAATTCATTACAGAAAAATCAATAGAAATCTTTTCTACGAAATAAGTAACAGATAACAAAGTTTACTTATTCTACCACAGTTGTCTCTAAACTGTGTTCCACGGAACCCTGGAGCTCTGAGAGTTAAATTCTAGGGTTCCGTTAGTCAAAATAAAAATTTAAAAAGAAACTTACAAGTATAAAGCACTCACAATAGTTCCCTAGCGTTAAAACTAAAAAATATAAAGGTATATTTATTTATAGATTATTTTTAAGACTTAACATGTGGTCATAATATGTCAAAGAGAATGACGTTCAATTCTTTCCAAAACTAAACTGTTTTTTAATTGGGAGTGTATTTAATTTAGATGACAGTGTTAAAAATTATACAATGGAGACCCTTTTTCAATTGAAGAAAATTGTAAGAGAATATTTCCCAGAAGGAAAATACTAAGCATGATTTTATAAAAAGTCCATTGGAGTATTACGATAAATCAGAACGCTTGCTAGTGAAGGAAATATTATCGATATATCAACAGACTCGACATTAAAATCTAAATTTAAGTAAGAGCATTTCCTAAAATTTTAGCTGTAGATTCATGCAGAATACCTAAAAGTTTCTCACACCCCTATGAATATTATAATTCCATTCGGACAACGTATTAAGTGAAAAATCTTTCTCAAAGTATGTGACGACAAAAACAAAATATAGAAACAAATTAAATACAGAATATGAAATGCGACTGCAGATAACATTGATACAGCTATACTTCGATAGCTTAGCAAAAAATGCAAGCATAGTTCTGGCACTAAAAGAATACAAGTGGAGCTGACACTTGGAGCAGGAGTTAATACCATTAAGGAATAAATTACATCAATTTTGTGTTACATTTTTTATTTAATATTATTACATTTTTTATTTAATATTATTACATTTTATGTAATATTATTCTCTGATTGTCTTTACATAAAGTACCTATAGCATATTGATCTACTTTAAATATTAAATTAAGATATATTTTTAAGGGTGGGATGAGGCTCCCCGAAAAGCCCTATAGTTCTAAGATTTCCTTGACAAATTTTGAAGACCACTATTCTACCATACCTATATGAAAGAGAGTAGACTGCATAAGTGACTAGGAAGAGAATAAAAAGAGATGTTATTGTTCATATAAAAATACTCCTTTCATAAAAACATCAGATATATGTTTGGGGTATATCTTTTTTTAATCTTTTAGCGCCATTTGACGTTGCTTGAAACTCATGGGTCTCCGTTTCACACAGAATTTATCAGTTTCAGTCAAAGAGCTTTGTTGTTTGTGTTTTAAAATATTTCTAGAGGAAACCATGGCATTGCAGTTGAAAGTGCTTATGATGTAGCTTGTTACAGCTTTATCAGGATAATATTATCTCATAAAATTTTTCACCTATCCCATTTCACACGAATTTTGCTGATCAATGAATAAATTCATATTTTTTTTTTCTCACCCTCTTAAAATATTACCCACATTATTTACTTTTGTTGCTATCTCTGAAACGTTTTTAGTTCTTTTTTGATGAACGCAGTTTTATAATCATGAACCAACTCTGATAATGTTTCGACAGAGACTTCCTCAAAACAGCTCTGAAATCATTTGTTGTCTACTTGAGTGTTCGTAACACAAAACGCTTTCGTTATCCGAAGCTTCTTAATTTTTTAGCCCAAAGGAGGCCATTACTTTCGAAATGGGAATTAATGTTGGCTCACTATAAACAGCGTAACACTTTTCAAATTGTTGCTGCCAAATACTACCGCCCAGTGTTATTTTTAAAGAAATTGAATGATGAAAAATCTGCATGTGTGTATGTATGTATGTTCCTCATATTGTGAAAACACGATAATACCTAGAACATCAAACTTTTAATAACTTAATCTTCCACCCTAACATTGAACCTGTAAGCTGTAGTTTCGAATTTCAAATTTGTTTTATTATTTATTTCACATTGTGTAAAACTTTAATGAAGTTTTGATTAATAATTTCAACGATTTCAAAGTGAGCAGTGACAACAGTTTTCAAAATAAAACATTTTTATCTCCAGCGTTCGAGACTTTTGCCATTCTGGAAAATGTAGGATATTTATTTTTCGATTTTAACTAACCAACTCGGTTCTATGAAAGCAATGTGTTGCCGCGGCTGAAAATAAATACTTTTATCTTCTAAGCACCAGCGTGTTGTTCAGTAAATCTAAGATACTTTCATATTTAATCTGGAAGTTTATTGAGTAATAAACTAAAGTGATTTAAAAGCAATAAACAGATTTCTTAAGAATACTTTTTAATGTTATTCATTTAAATAAACAAATATTAAAGCCATGAGATAAGTAACTAGAAATATTTAATATTTTTTGAAGTTATGCTGGCTGGACTCATTAAAATCATAGTTTCCAAAGAGGTAATGTAATGAATATAAAAATATATATGTCAACCTCTAACACTCAACCGGGAATTTTAAAGATAGGCTATTTTTAAATATTTTTTGATTTTGCTGTTGAAATGATTTTATGTAAGTGCGAAAAAATTTAATAATAAAAGACAAAAATATTTTATTGACCATTTTAATAAGAAAACTAAATATTGGTATGATGAACTGAGAAAAGAGTGAGAAAGATATGAATATGTATATCAAAACTTAGGACATTCATCGGAAATTCTAAACGTATGCTGCTATGTTTATTTTTAAAAATGTGATTTTTTGTTATTGTTATTGTTGAACTTTATGTGACATAAGTGCAAAGAAAACGATGTTTAATGATAAAGCTAAAGATAAAAAAAAACTGAGAAAATTAAATTAATAAAGCAAAAAATCTGAAAGCTTTTAGATTTTACATTAAGCCCGATGGGGCATTTTTTAAACTTTTCTGTGTTACTATTATTTATTAAATGTTCTTTGCACTTAAACCATAAATTCAATTCAACAGTAAATATCTCAAAATAATTTTAAAATGAGCATATCTTTAGAATTTTCGATACACAGTCTGGCGTACTGGAGATAAATTTTTTACATTTTTTTTTCGTACAGTTTTGCCATTATTCGCTTTGAAATCCTTGAGTTTGTTAATAAAAAATTCGTTGAATATTACAATATATGAAATTGATAATCAAACAAATTTCAAATTCCAAATTATTGCTTCCAGATGCCCATATTCAGTGGAGGATTACGTTATTCAAAATTTGACGGCTCTAGGTACCGTTATTTTTTCACAGAGAGAGAAACATACATACATTTATGCAGATTCTTCCTTATATAATTACTTTAAATGTAATACAGGTTTGTAATATTTGGTGGCAACAATTTGAAAAGTGAATCAAGGCAGAAAGTGAATCGAGGCAAAATGCCAAAACGAATTGCACTTCTGGGCCCTTCTGGCTTCTTCAAACTAATAGCCTTCTAGGCTAACTCCCTTTGGGCTACAAATAAATAAAAATTGGGTCAGGAGTAGTGAGTGTAAGAGCAGACTGGTATACTGCAAACTCAGCGAGACCATATAAAACTTTAACAAACCCTTTGGAGCGACGGTTAAAATTCGAAGTCTTTCAAATTTTGTTTTTTATATTTATTTCTGTATTGTTTGCCTGATAATTAGTTTGTAAACCGATTTGCTCGGGGTAATAGGCATTCGTGATTCTAGGTTCCACTGTTCTAAATTACTCTAAAATCTGATTCCATGGATGTTAATAAGAAAATATAAAATAATGTATATTAAAATACATGTTATTTCAGATTTTATCATCTCAATGACTTTAATATCTGTGCACTTAAAATACGAACAGTAGACATATTAAAGATTTTTCTTCAACCATCTATAAAAAGAAAATATCAGTTCTTTGACAAATATTCCAATTTATTTTTGGTGAAATAACATCAAAAGTCATAATGCTGATTGTGCACATCTTACACAATTCGGCAGCATTATTTCAGCATATTACATAATCATCATAATATTGTACTTTGTAACAAACAGATATTGATATTTTTTACTTAAATATTTTTGAAAATCATAACTGCTTCATGTATGTTTTCAATGTTTATGCATAGCCTTGGTATTTCTGGAGTAATTGCTCTCTATAAGTGTGTTTTTAACGTTTTGGTAAAAAATAATTATATAATAATTTTCCTTTTTTAAATAAACTGTTGTTTATTGTTTCTGTAACAATGAGCAAAATGTCCATTGAGTAAATTCTAGATAGGGTTTCATAAAAATAAATTATAACAATTTAAATAATGAGAAATCATGAAAATAAACTTATTTTTTAAAGATTTCAAGAAGTTATTCAAAGGCTACGGACTTCAACAGAATCTAATCTGTCGTAAGAAATAAATAGCCACTTTCATTTTAGAAGTTAAATACAGTCAAGCCTCTACTACAACCAAAATGACTTCTTAATTAATTTTTTTATATAATTTTAATTCTTCTTAATTTAAGAGTTATTATTTACTAGATTATTTTTGTTAATGCGTGTTCCTCGTTTGTCCACCATGGCCTTCTTTTAGTGCATAAAAGAATAATTGCTAACAGAACTGCTGAGAAAATGTATATATTAATTTAGAGGGTAACTCCATACTATTATGTGTATAGAATGCATGTTTCAAGGGAAATGACTTCATTCAAAATTTTTAAGTTTTCAATATCTGTGAGGAATGTAGATCATGCTTCATTAGAAAAAGTGTAGCAGTGTTGACACAGAATTTACGTTTCACCTCTGCACAATTCATCCAATTTGAAGAATTTTAATTCTTTTTTAATCATGTAATTAACATAGAATTGGTTTCCCTGAAATTTTACATTTATATTTTCGAAAAATGCAAACTAAAAGCTTGAAAAATATTTCGCATACGTATGTAATAAGCACAAGACGTAGAAAACTAATGTTATGTAATAATCCCAGTGTCTAAATCAGTATTTTATTTCCCAAAATTTGTAATGCGAAGCACCTTTATAAGTTCTGAAATTTTAACGAACACTTGAGTAAATTTAGGTTTTGAGTTATAATAAATAATAACACAAATATATTAGATTAGAAAAAGCATTTATTAGCCCAAAGGGGCGTTAGACCCAAACGGCTATTAGTTTCAAAAGGGCATTTTCCGTCGTTTCACTTTATGCGTTGATTCACTTTTCAAACTGCCTGCCATCAAATATTATCGCCATGTATTGTATTTAAAGATACTAAATAACGTAAAATTTTCATAAATACATGAATGTTTCTGTCATTGCGAAAAAACAACGGTACCTAGAACCATCAAATTTTCCTCCAACCGAACATGAGCACTTGGAAGCCCGAATTTTGAATTTCGAATTTGTTTTATTATTTATTTCAATTTTTTTTAAAACTTTAGAGAATTTTTGATTAAGAAACTCAACGATTTCAAAGCGAGTGATCGCATTACTGTACGGATAAAAATACTTTTATCTCCAGCGCATGAGACTGTGTATCGGAAATTCCGAAGATATGCTCTTTTTAAATTATTATGCGATAATTCTGTTGATTGAATTTTATGTGAATTAAGTGAGAAGAACTTGATTTTAATAAATAAAGGTAACAGATAAAACGTTAAAAAATGCCCTTTTGGGCGTAATATAATATCTGAGAGATTTCAGATTTTCTTTCTCTTTTCTTTTCTTATTTTTATGTAATACCTATAAAAGAAAAATTTTGAATTTTTATATTTACAAAAATGATACATAATCTAATTAAATGAAGCAAGTGATCCAAAAAGTAATTAAAGCATTTTTAGTTCTTAATGACTTTGACATGTTTGAACCTTAAAATTACGGATTCCTTTAATGTCAGGTACAGTGTTAGAAACCTGAATTCTTATATCAGATGCAGCATAAACTCTTTCTGTATTTGGATTTTCTTGCAACACAGAGTGAAACCATATTGTAACGTTGTCGTAAAAGATAGTAAAGTATGAGTAACTCGTTTAGAAATAGGTCCCGATATGCTTCTGACAGACTTATCCAAAATTTGTTTAACAACAGTAGCTCCAGTCTGAAGATACGCAAATGTTTTTGATATATTTTCTTCTTTTCTTGTCTATCTGGTCACAGCTAGTTTACATGAATTATAAATTTCATTTCTTGAAACTCGTTTACAGATAATGATTGATCAATATTTAAGTACATTTTAAAGCACTTAGTGTGTGTCTGCTGGTTATAGAACATGAAACAAGGAAAGAAAATTGGTATTTTATTGACTTGACAAGGTAGTAAAAACGCATGTATTAAACTGGTATTGTTGTGTTCAAAACTTACTCATCCTGTTATTAATTAAATCCATAACATGTATTTTGCATAGTAATAAATCAGTACATTTGTTTTTGCCTTTAATTAACAAAAGAATTGATGCCTATAGGTTTGGTTCAAAAACCGACGAGCAAAACAGAGAAAGCTGCAGAAGGGTGGAGATAAGAATTTTGCAGCTCAGGATAAAAGTAAGGAAATTATCAGTTCAACTACAACTTCACCTCAGACCCCCACCGATAAAGAAACTTGCACAAGAACTATCGCAGCACATTGCAGCTCTGAGGTTCAAAGAAGCAATACTGTGTCGAGTGCAAGATTGTTAGAATGCTCTGCATCACAAGAAAAAAGTAAGTCACGATTTTAAGATAATAGTACTTTTTAAAAAAAGAAATTATACTACACTTTGACTTTCGAAAACATGCGGTTTGTCTTTTTAGATTTTATTGTAACCTCTGAAAGACGTCATAAATTTGAACGCTTGCAGTGCAAATCATGCAACAGTGATTGTTTTCGATGAGAAATAGTTAAAATATGATACGAGTATATATAAATATTGTGAATAATAAATAAAACGGAAAAAATTAGAAATCAGATTGCTTTTGTGACAACAAATATTTCCACGTATGGTTAACTAAATAAGAATTATTAAGTTTTTCTAATTCTTCTAACTCAGTGATTCTCAAACTTTTTTGTCTCATTTTTGCACTGCGCTTTTACCATTACTAGGCGACCATTGCCTCCCTTCTTCTTTTCATCATCCCCGTTCTTTCCAAAACTACAAAAATACATTTATATTTATATAAATTTTGATTATTAGTGCGTTTTATGAATTAAAAAAGAACTAATATAGAAAATGCTGATAAATAACAAAATCGAATAAAAATAATTTTTATACCCATAAATGAGAACTAAATGCTTAATAAGTAAAAAGGCTGATCACATTCTCCCCCTCCCCTCAGAAGCTATGTAATTCTTACCCAGGGGGGAGTTCCTTCCGCCCTATTAGTATCTCTGTTCCAACACGACAGTACCGAAATATAAACAGTTGAAAATAAACCCACTTTTCGTCATAAAAATGCATGATTTATATCATCCCTTAAAGTTTTACTCAAGAGTTTTTTATTCCCTTAAACACTCTAAGGATTGTTTCTGTGTATTCGTAGGTAAAAATGAAGGATAGATTTTGTACATAAAGGAGAATTTTCCTGTAAGATGTCTTCACAACGTTGTCTTTTATCAATAAACTTGAGAAAAACAAATACTTTTAAAGCAGTTCTCAGAAAATTATGTCATATTTTCCTAATAAAGTTATGAAATAGATTTATGAAATTATGAAATAGAACACTTATTTCTGAGACATAAATGACTTTTATATAAAAGTTCTTTAAAATGAGCATTTTATTTTATAGTACCTCTCGGAGAAAAAGCCGAAAAATACTGTTTAAAACCATCATCTAATGATTCGGATTAAATATCTTAAGTTCATGCTACTTCAAACATATTTATAAACAATGTTTTACTACATATTACTTGTTTGAGTCAGACAGGCAAAAGATTAGGTCTCAGATCTGTATCACTAAAAATATTCTGAGTATAAATAATAAAAATAAACTTGGATAATATCCTACATAAACTATAATATTGTTGCGTGCGTACGGGTTCGTTATGAAATGAATGCACAAGTCCGATGAAAAATGAACAAAAATTTATTATTATCACAACAAAAATGCTTAAATTTTCTCAAATTATCATGCAGTATTACAATATCTCACAGTAGTTATCTTTTAACTACTCAAATGTCCAATAGAACGTAATTCAAAACAGCTAAAGAACGCTAATCCGCGAATTCGCTACAATCAACAACAATAGTTTTCTAAACAACAACAAACTAAACAACTACTACAAACTGAGATGTTTTCCTCCTTTTATAAGATTTTAAAATCACGCGCTAGAATTTTCCAGTACTTTCTCGAAATCAAAAAGAGATATTTATTTATTTAACGCACGCGCTCTTGTATTTTTAATTTTTCCGGCTTAGCTTTCTTTTAATATTCGTCACGCGCTGCACTGCGCGAGAAATAAAATCATTTAATTTATAATTGAACTAACATTAGCTTTTTAAATACCAAATTCGTAACACTGCCCCCTTCCCAAGGACTGCACGTCCGGCAGTACAATCCCTGGACAGGAAGCTAAACTTACAACTGTGGCATAAATGCAACTGAGGCATAAACATTACATTACAATATCAAACAATATTAACAATAAATGCAATAACTAACTTAAACAAATGAAATGCTATCAAATACTAAATACAAAACAAATACTAAATACAAATCAAATACTAAATGCAAATCAAATACTAATACACATTTATAACAAAAAGGTCTTATACTATTTAAAATTATTTACACTACACTGTGGAATTACTTACACTGACTATACTTTACACTACATACTATTTACATAAATTATTTACATTACGTACTATGGCCAGGTGGTAGTAATGAGCTAACCTGTCGTAATGAACGACTTTAGGTTTTAGAGTTCGAAGACTTACGAATCCGAACCACGACGTCATTCAGCCTTTTTAGGACTGTATACGGGCCATCCCAAGGTGACTGTAATTTCGGACAAAGTCCTTTCCGTCGAGTCGGATTCCACAACCACACCTTGTCTCCTTCGTGGAACTGATGTTCAGTAGCTCTTGTGTCGTAGCGGGTCTTCATCTTCTCCGTCGCCAAGTTGACTCGCTCTCGTGCAAAGTTGTGCATCACTTCAAACCGGGCCTGGAGATCTTGAATATATTCCTCAGACGATGAAGGAGCGTCTGGAGGGCGGCCAAACAAGAGATCACAAGGCAGACGAAGGTCACGACCGAATAGCATCTGTGATGGAGAATAGCCGGTAGTCTCGTGGACAGCACTGCGGTAAGCCAGTAAAAACAGCGATAATTTCTTGTCCCAGTCCTGCTGGTTTCTGGAAACTACTAATGAGAGGTTATTAAGGATGGTTCGATTGAACCTCTCTACCATGCCGTCCGACTGGGGATGTAATGGCGTCGTTTGGGTCTTGTCAATGCCGAGTAGTTTGCATAGTTCTTTGATTACTACCGAGGTAAAATTCCTTCCCTGATCGGAATGTAACTGAAGAGGCACTCCGAACCTGGAAATCCAGTGCTGTATCATTACCTCAGCTACTGTAACAGCCTCTTGATCAGGAATAGGATAAGCTTCAGGCCACTTGGTGAAGTAATCAACGACAACGAGTATGTATTTGTTGCCATCAGCAGTTCGTGGCAGAGGTCCCAGGATGTCAAAGGCGATTCGTTCAAAAGGCGCCCCTACGTTGTAACGTTGCAGCTTGCCTCGGCTGCGTCTCTTAGGTCCTTTCCTACCTGCACAGGCATCGCAAGATCGGCAACCACTTTTGCACGTCATCCTTTGCATTATTCCAGTAAAAGCGCTCACGAACTCTCTGTAAGGTCTTCATTATTCCAAAGTGACCTCCCGTAGGGCTGTTATGTAGTTCTTTAAGGACATCAGGAATGCGGGATCTTGGAAGTATCAGCTGCCATCGGAACGTCTTCCCATCATCCGATTCGAATTTCCGGCATAAGACGCCGTTTCGAATGTGAAGTGAATCCCAGAGTGCCCAATATTGTTTGGTTGTAGGACTACAGATAGAAATGTCCTGCCAGGTAGGTTTTCTGTTTGACGACTCCATTAGATCAATTATGGGTTTAATGTCGCGGTCTTCCAGCTGGTCTTTCCTGACTTCATCATCACTCCACGGTTCTCGATCAGCAGATGTTGATGATGTAATTTGTCTTGCGACCGGAGTCAGCAGCTCGTATTTCGCTTCCACCCTGGAACAATATCGACAGTTTTCTTGGCAAGGTCTTCTAGACAGGGCGTCGGCGTTTCCGTGTGATGATCCCTTACGATGACGGATAGTGATGTCATATTCTTGGAGTCTCTGTATCCACCTGGCTATTTGACCCTCAGGATTCTTGAAATTTAAAAGCCAGGTCAATGATGCATGATCGGTGCGGAGCATGAATTTTCTGCCGTATAGATAGTAATGGAACTGTTCTACAGCTTTGACTATGGCGAGCAACTCTTTCCTGGTGACACAATAATTCCTCTCCGGTTTAGACAGGCACTTGCTCCAGTACGCCACTACACGTTCTTGGCCGTCTATTTCTTGGGACAAAACAGCACCAACACTTTCATTACTCGCGTCGGTGTGTCGAGAATAAATGGTCGGTCAAGCTGAGGATACGTCAGGATTGGAGCAGATGTTAAAGCCTCCTTTAAGTTGTTAAATGCATCCTCGCATTCTTTTGTCCACAAGAACTTTTGGTTGCTCTCTGTCAGCTTGTGTAGGGGTCTTGCGATGAAAGAAAAGTCCTTCACGAATTTCCTATAGTAGGTGCAAAGCCCTAGGAAGCTTCTCAGCTGATGGACATTTTCGGGACGTTTCCAGGATTTAACGGCTGATACCTTTTCAGGATCCGTGCGCACACCTTCTGCAGAAATGACATGTCCCAGGTAAGTCACTTCCTTTCGGAACAATTTGCATTTAGCGGGACTCAGCTTCAGATTGGCTTCTTTCAGTTTCTGAAGCACCTTCCTAAGATTTTCTAAATGTTCTTCAAAACTCTTTCCGACGATGATGATGTCGTCCAGGTATATGAGGCAGGCTTCGTAGGAAAGGCCTTTCAAAACAGTTTCCATAAGACGTTCGAATGTTGCCGGCGCATTACACAGTCCAAACGGCATCACCTTGAATTGCCAAAGCCCTTGTCCCGTAGTAAATGCCGTCTTTTCTCGGTCTTCAGGCTGTATTTCTACCTGCCAATACCCACTCTTTAAATCAAGTGTTGAGAACCACTTGCTGCCAGAAAGAGTGTCTAGAATGTCGTCAATTCTAGGAAGAGGGTAACTGTCTTTCTTCGTAACCTCATTCAACCGGCGATAGTCGACGCAAAATCTTGTTGAGCCGTCTTTCTTTCTGACTAGGACGATGGGAGATGCCCATGGACTTACTGAAGGCTCGATGACATCGCTTTCTTCCATATCTTTTAACAGTGTTCTCACCTCTTCCTGTTTAGCAAACGGTAGACGTCTTGGATGTTGCTTGATCGGGGGATGATCGCCGGTATCTATTCTATGTTGTGTCAACTAGTTCGACCCACGTCAGAAGATGAGCGGGAGAAAACAACTTGAAGATCTTTAATGACGCGATCGGCAGCATTCCTCTCTTTATCGTTTAATTGCGCATTCTGCAATAACTCCGATGTAATTCTCTCTGAGGACACGGATTCTTGGATGTTACTCTTTCTTTCAACAGTGGTTACTGGAGTACATGCTGCAACCACTTCACCTTTCTTAATAATTCTCCCCTTCTCAGTTACATTGGCGACTCTCACCGGGATAACCGTTCTGGATAGGTCGACGAGTGTTGAGGCTACTAGTACTCCTTTTGGGCTATTACAGTTATTGGGATATTCTATGATGCCGTAGCGGAAATTTCTGTTTTCGGCTATGGATCCAGGAAGTAAAATTTCTGTTCTTGCCGGTATTGTGATATTGTCTTGTGCTATGATTTTATGGACAGATTTAACTTCATCATTGACTCCAAATAACGCTATGTCCTCAGATGTAGAATGCAATTCGTTATTTTTAAAGTCCAAGGGAAAAATTGTATTTCCTTAGAAAGTCCGATCCGAGTATGCAAGAATCAGTGATCTCTGCTACATATGCCGTGTGATGGTAAGCGGCACTTCCAAACGTGATGTTAGCATTTACTTTTCCATCGATGTTGATCTTCTCACCGGACACAGTCTGTAGGGTAACGCAGGGCGGCGTCCAGATAAGTTTGCTTCCCAGTTGTTGAGCCAAATCTTTTCGGATGATGGTAACGTTGGCTCCTGTATCTATCGTCATATTGCAGGAACTCCATTAATATGTCCTATTATGAAAAGTCCATTACTGCCGCCTCTCACTGCAGAAATCTGAAGCGCTTTAAACTGGGGCCTTTTCATGATCTGGCAACCTCCGCCCCGCGAGATGGCCACTAATTAGTTTCCCTGCTGTTTGTTAGGAGCGGTCTTAGCATCCGTGCCCTGGGGTGTTCTGCAGTTTCGTCGGATGTGTCCTTCAGCACCGCAGTTCCAGCACTTTACGGTCGGTTTCTTGTCACCAATATTCTGTCTCAAGGCGTTCAGTTGTCTAGTTAAATCGTCTAGACGAGCAGTGACTTGATCCCCTGGCTCCTGGACTTGAGCAGCTCTGACTGGATGGCGGTCTCGACGGGTGGCTTGCTGGGCTGCCTCAAATTTCATGGCATACACTAAAGCGCTTTTCAGATCTTTAACATCCGCCATTCGCAGTGCTTTCTGTATTTCAGGGTCCCGGATGCCATCGATGAAATATTGCAGGGACAGGATTTCCCTTGTTTCTGTCGGGCACTCCGAAAAGGCGTGATGTGACAGCCTTTCAACATCCGTGGCGAGCTCCTGAAGCGTTTCGGGTGAGCTTCTGTTGACGAGATTTTAATTGGAGCCTGCTGTAGTCTTTTAAACATTTCTCCCCGAAGCGCAGCTCCAAAGCGCCGGATAGAGCTTCGAAATCTAGCCTTTGATTTTCGGGAAGCGTCTGCAGGATATCCGCTGCGTCTTCTCTCAGAGAAGCGGCGAGATGACAGGCCTTAGCTTGGGAATCCCATCCATTCGCATCCGCAACGGTAGAAAATTGTGTCCTATACACCTGCCAGGAGGTCTTCCCATCATATGTAGATAGTTTCAGAACGGAACGAGCAGGCATCGATAAAAATTTAAAACCTTCAGAATTGTTTCCTACCGTCGCTATGCACTTCTTTAGGCTGTCAACTTCTTTGGCGACGGCAGCAAAAACCCTATCATCAATTTGTTGTTCGACGGCAGAAACTCTCTCTTCTATATGTTCTTTACAGAAGAAATTCTTTCTTCTACTTGTTCTTTTACCGAAGAAAACTCTTTCTTCTATTTGTCCAAACTTTAGTTTCAACCGCGTCTATTCTGCCTTCCATAGCCTCAAATTTATTTTCTATTACGCAGGTAATTTCTCTTTTCATTTCGTCCTCCTGACCTGCTTTTCATCTCGTCTTTAAGGGATTTCATCTCTTCTTCCTTAACGCATTCCTGGCCCAATTTCATTTCTTCCTTAACGGATTATTTGACCAGCATCCATTTTCTCTTGTACAGCTTTATATCTTCCTTAACGGAGTTGACGGCTCCTTCCATCTTTTCTTGGAAAGCAGCAAATGCAGTCATCATTTGCCTGAAATGCTCTTCCATCGCTCTTGTTATTGGCATTCAAACCCCACTTCTGACACCAAAAAAATTGTTGCGTGCGTACGGGTTCGTTATGAAATGAATGCACAAGTCCGATGAAAAATGAACAAAAATTTATTATTATCACAACAAAATGCTTAAATTTTCTCAAATTATCATGCAGTATTACAATATCTCACAGTAGTTATCTTTTAACTACTCAAATGTCCAATAGAACGTAATTCAAAACAGCTAAAGAACGCTAATCCGCGAATTCGCTACAATCAACAACAGTAGTTTTCTAAACAACAACAAACTAAGCAACTACTACAAACTAAGATGTTTTCCTCCTTTTATAAGATTTTAAAATCACGCGCTAGAATTTTCCAGTACTTTCTCGAAATCAAAAAGAGATATTTATTTATTTAACGCACGCGCTCTTGTATTTTTAATTTTTCCGGCTTAGCTTTCTTTTAATATTCGTCACGCGCTGCACTGCGCGAGAAATAAAATCATTTAATTTATAATTGAACTAACATTAGCTTTTTAAATACCAAATTCGTAACAATATAATCGGTCTGTTAGTTCATACTTCTAGTTTCGCTAACATTATTTTCGCTGGTTTAAGTATCTTGACAGGATTGTTTTCCCATGCGACTCGAAACTAAGCCTCTCCAGTCCACAAATGAAGATTCTCGAAAGACTCCAACAATCTGTTCCTAAATTCTATTAATGGACGATGTGTATTTATATCTTTTAATTAAACATACATTTCCACATAATCTTAAAACTTAATTATTTAAATCGATCTCAAAAAAGTGAACAATCGATAGCTTTAATTATTAATACATCGATCAAATTTTATTTTCTTTAAGATATTACTTTAAGATTCTGTAAGATCTTATTTTATTTAATATATTTTCTTATTTTATTTAATATATAGAAGCACAAACGGGAATTTTGTTTGGTTTTCTGCAGCCGATACCTGTTTATACGGATTCAAATACTGAATTAAGAGAAGCGATAATATATTATATTTAAACAAATCTTAACAGCTGACCATAGTTAATGTTATACTCACGATCTTGAAAGTAAATGATAACCATGTCCCCAAAAAAGTTCATTTTCAGAAATCTGAAGTAAAATCAGGGTGGTGATTTGATCAATACTGAATAATTCCTCAAAAAAATTTTATTTTGAAGGTAAACAGTTAACTTTTACAAAGACCGACCATCTGAAAAGTATTCAGTGTTTTAGGCTAAAAGATACATAAGTAACTTGTGCTGTATGATAATGCTTCTGCGAATAAGACAGCTATCGTTAAGGAATTTAAATAGATAGTTAGTTTATAAAGGCAAAACACAAGAGCTATGTGCCTAATCGAGAAATGTATTTGTGAAGGATTTTATAAGGAAAACGAATCCTTATTTACTTTATGCATGGAAAAACCATGAAAAACATATGTAAATAACCCTTTCGCCGGGATCAATAACCAGCGATCAGCGGTTTCATCCACTTGGCTACTTGCAAGTTTCCTCAGACATAATTTCAGAGAAAAAGGGAGATATTCTTAGAACATTTTCTTAGTCTCCTAGGGCTACTTACTTTCAATTCTAAATGAAACCTTACCTTAGTGGGGCAGTATTGAAAGTATTTCAGAAGTTCAAATTATTCATGAGGGAACTGATGAATTGAAAAGTATTCAAAGAGTTCGTTTTTATAAAGAGATCCAGAAGTTCTGTGAAAGTGGCAAGGAAATGTATATAATATAAGAAATATTCGTAATCAATTAGAAAGCCATAAAAACTCTTTTCTTCAAATCTGAAGTTTCATAAATTCAGTTTTAAAAGTTTGTTGATTTTGTCTGTATTTGTCAGATGAAGATTTAAACGCATTGCGTAATTTACACGAAAAAAAATTAGATGATCTTGCGATTAATCATTTTTGAACTTCTTGCGAGCTTTAAATAAATTTTAACAAATATCCATTACAGCAAACGAATATGCTTATAGTAATAACTTTTACCTACATAAAGCAGAAAAAAAACTATTTTATATTGTTTTCTGCTAAGATTACTTTTTTGCTGTTCCTTTAAAATTGAAATGCTCTTTGTATCTTTCCAGTAGATCTCAACCTAAATTCCATCTCTGGCAGTGAAGTTTCTGGGTCAAAAACTTCACCGGAAGCTAATCCTGATATAAGTTATGGTATGCACACGATAGGCTACTCAGATTATAAGACAAAAAGCTTAACTCGACAATGTAAGTTATGATGTTAATTTTTATTTTTACGTAAGATTAAAGCTTCAATATTTAACTCTTTAAAATATTTTAATAGTAATTAATCTAACTAGAACTCAGACACTATTTCTATCCTGCCCGCATTAAACTATGCATGATATTTCTCTTATTGAACTTCCCAAAATAATATATTATGCTCTTTTCGGAACTGCAATTGTATTTTGATATTTTGCATTTTTGTAGCACTATTTATTATTTCTATTTATTAATTTGTTTATTTAGTGAGTCTCGGGTGATAATTTTATTGCTTATTTTTCTACAATAAAGCTTATGCCGGCGTATTGTGTTATTTCGTGTATTGTGTTGGAATTCTGAATCAACTGACGTTTGAACTGGAAGAAGAGCACCATTAAAACGTGAGACAGCAGCAAAACCTCTCATAACTCGCCTTCGTGACGATTTTATTGCTAAGTAAACAATATTTGGAAATGTACTACAAACTTGGCAATATTCTGAAAGTTTTCCAAAGTGCAACATCAAAGCGTAGGAAATTTTTTTCTCTGGAAGCTTCTCTAGTATCCCTATAAATACGGTTGTTAGTTCAATGATTCAGTTCAAAATCGCTGCACTGAGCTTGCTTTGTTAGGATTTTCCTGTTCTGCGATGTTCGTATTTTAAGAAAATCTTGTCTTATATATGTCTCATATATGATGATGCATTTCGATTTTTCCCTGTTCATTTGGCACAGTTATTAAAGAGATCTGTAAGAATACTGAGCAAGTAATACTATAATTTCAAAATGCTCAACAAACATTGCTCATAAAAAATATGTTTAATGTAATCGAATGAAAACAAATTCATATTTAGCTTTATCCAAATTATCACAGTAGCACTGTGACAGAAAAGAAAATTCACCTGGCAGTGTTAATAGACCACTGAAAATTAAACTCATTTCTTACAATACACAAATAATCAAGAAATTGCTTTAACTCTTTAAATCAAAATAGCAAGCAACGGATTTACAGTATTTAAATTAAGCTACTGAGGAATCTCTATTATTAAAAGTATAAAATTCCTGGGATACATCCATGATTATTCAAATTCGTCGAGAAATTATTTATTTAATATTGTTTGAATACGTACTAGAATTAAATGAAAGAAGTCACGAAATTTATGCATATATAAACTTTATTTAGAGTGCTAAATTTACAATACTTATACCATTATCCATATTCACAGAATCATCAATCATTTTTTAGACTCTAAAGAGACTCCAACTAATGTAGTTATTTTAAAAAGCATAATCTTTAGATATTATTAAATATTGAATTCATATTCATCAATTTCTTTTGGACACTTTAGGTTTATCCACTGTTCCGAAACGCCAAGATGATAGCTTCGCAGAAGACTTGACTCTAGAAACTTCGAACCCAGATCTAGTCAAACAACAGCATCCCCTCAACTTGTGGACCAGCAAGATTCCTCCTTATCTGAATCCTACTCCTTCGGATCCTCATTGCAGATTTTTGCCCATGGTTCCATCCTTCTTGTATCCGCACTTGCCCGGGAATTGGCCATATACGTATTATAGTGCTACCGGCCCTAGCGAAGTGACTCAGATTTGCTCTGGGAAGCCATCATGCATATCGATGGAAAGAGGAGATGGTGTAGGTCAGTGTTTTGCTGAAACTGACTCTTGATTTGTTTCGGATGTTTGGACCTTTTACAATTAACAATCAAGACTGCACAAAGTTGTAAATGTTATTATTTATTTACCAAATCAGTAATGGCGAACCTTTCAGGCTTGTTATCTCAGGAAACTGATTAATTTAATTCCACTGGCATGTCGATCTTCGAGAGAAACTGCTTTCTGCTAGTCTATATAATCCTTTATTAAACAAGAGTGGTGTTTAATAAATGATTATATTTATCAATCATTTATTCAATCATGAGTGGTGTTGTGTATTATATACTTAAACATCAAATGATCACGAAGATAAATAAGTAAAAGAAACTTATCCTTAAAGAATTTAAATTAGTTTCATTATTAAAAGCAGCTCCGTACAGCAAATTGAATAAGCAGAAGAAAAACAGCTGCGAAGCAAAAATATGAAGTCAACAAAAATGAAAGAAAAACCCATGATTTTTATGATAGACAAAGATATTAGCATCCCGAAATATTACTTTACTTCTAATGCTGGCAAATAATTCATTTGAAGAGACACGGCATGTAAAACAGTGTACTGGATTTATGAAGAATAATTAATCACTTTTTGTCGAAGACATTTAATGATATGTAGTCAAACTCAGAATTATTTGCATTTATGGGAGAGGGTTTGATCTTCCTCCAGGACTTCCTAATCGAAATTAACGCAGAGAAAAATCTGTAAATGAAAGCGGATTCTTCAATCCTTTCAAGCCATGTAAACAGCAGTTATTTCATGTCAGTTTCCTTTGCCATGTATAATATCGCTTAATCTTAGTTGAAAAGTCTTGCAGAAATATGTGAAAAAAAACTAATAGATATTTAAGGATGCTGAAAAGTTTTGAAACGAAACAATAAAATAATTCAACACAACTCTTTTAAGCTCGCATGGAGCCTGATTAGAACTAAATCAAGAATAGCTGTTTATGGAATAACCAGGAATAATATGGGTGCAGTTTCATGCTAAAAGTGTGGTGTATCTCCGTTGAGAAGCTGTTTACAGGTTCGTCATCACTACCTTGATGTGGAAAATAATAAAATCTCCAAGAAAATGCAAAAAAAAAAAAAAAAAAAAAAAAATATGAGCGTCAGGAATTTCAAATCATAATTTAGGTTCCTGAAAAATGTTTCTGTATAGTACATGAATATGTACATGAATTGCTGTAAATCAAATTGCCGTGGAAAACAGAATTGAATTCATAGAAGGAAAGAAAGGTGTTTGTACTAACATTAAGTTGAAAAATCTATTTGGATATTGTGAAATCTTAAAGTAAATTGAATTTTTCCAAAGAATAAAATTATAAACACTATTAAAATTTAATTTGAAAATTGAAATAGGTATAATTTAATTTACTATTACGTAAGTTTATATTATATATTAGATTAATTTACTATGAGACAAGTTAGCAAAGAATTTATGTAATATAAATTAATTTTTCCTCAGTTTCAGTTTATGAGCTTTAAGTTACACTGCGAAAAAGAAAAAAAAAAAAAAAAAAAAAAGGTTTCAGTTCTACATCTCCAGTTCTATGGGCTGTTGACGAAATTCAACTGTGTTTTTCTGTCTGCAAGCACGACTTCTATCTATATATATTAATTTATAGTATCAGCATGTTCTAATTTAGGTATTTGTTACAAAATCAGACTTTTCGGAATAACATAAATGTTTTTCCATATTCGCTTCTATGGATCAAATGTGCCAGATATTAAATTTTAATTTTCTTGAGAAATTACGAAGAATTCAAAAAGTTTATCTTGACATTTTTTCGGTTTGTGCAGATATTCACTTAGTTAATTCTTAATTATAGTAACCTCCTCCTTTCTTTTTTTAGTGAGCCGAGGAAAAAGGTCCATCGTTCATTTTCAAATAGTAATAGTGCGTAAAACTCTTTTCGTTATTATCGCTTATATAGTAAATACGCTAAATTTCAAAACTCGTCAAAAGTAAATTCACGTAATCTAGGAAAATTGGATAAAAACTCTCATGTTGAAGGTATCTAGAATAATCTCTTTTAAGAAAATGTTAAATTTTTAGGTTAATAAAAAATGTTCGCAAAATTATAAAAAATATTTAAAAATACAAGTTAAAAAAAACACAAAAAATGTGGCGAATTATTTGGATTAGCTTAAATTTCAAATTCTGAAGAAGAATCAAGTCAGTTTAATAAGAAGAGAATAATAATTACGAAGAGGCTAAATTTTGAGAGCTAATTTTTAAAAAATACTGTGCGACTTTTTTATAGAACTTGGCAGTTTGGCATAACTTGAGTCTTGTCATTTCAGAAAAAAGTCCGATTTTGTGTCAAAATACCTTTATTCTAACAATGCTATATGTAAATCTAATACATATCGTATGTCGCGTTTTCGAGACATGAAAAACGCAAGTTGTATTTAGTCAATTGACCCAGTACAACAGGATGTATGGAACTGTCCCCCCCCTTTTTTGGGGGGGCATTAGCGCTACCACCTTGGCGCAGTTTACGGATTGTTTACAAAAGGAAAAGGATGTGGACTTATAATTACAAGAAAAAGTATTTAGAATGCATATAGTTTACTACGTACATATTTTCTGCTTTAGATATTTATTACGAAAATCAATCAATAATCTATTTACAAACGGATTTTCATTTCGCTTATTCTAGTGGAAATTTCTTAATAATTACTTTAAGAATAGATACAAAAGAATTGTTCCTCTGAGCGATTTTATGTTAAAACTGTATTCCCTCAGAATTTTCTTCACAGTCTCTTCAGTTGTACTCAAATCCCGAAAGCACATATTTTAAAATGGAGTTAAAAAGAAGTTCAGTCTAAAAGTTGTTAGAATGCAACAAAAAGAATGCCTGTGAAAACTGTAACATTGCTTGTTAAAGTTGAAGAATTATTTTGCTCATGGTTGCGTGAAGAACTGTTCTGCGTATAGTTTCCAGAGTTTGGCGCATTTTGAAAATTTGGCACTGCCTAAGATTGGATGCGCTCGCTAATACGTACCTTTGTAATAAGTTGCATCATTTTAAGATAAACATGCCTTATCCTGTGCTATAACTACAAACGTTTTATTTTGAAAACATATAGAAAATTTAATATCAGAATTTGTATGCAATTATCGACTTTGTTCTTAATCGTTATTTTAGCCCTTCCTACTGACGAAGAATTATTAAAATCTGAAGTATAACTCCTGTACAAAGATTCTACTTTGTGTTTTAATGAATGCAATGTCCTTCTTTACTTCCGTTAAACAAACGATTGTGAAATAACAAAATGCGTTGTTTATATGTTGTTGTTCCCTGATGAAGTGCACCGTTTGTTTATTTTGATGGTAAGCTAATATCATGCTCTTAATGACTAGTTTATATTAGATTTCTTTTTCAAGTGATATTAATGTAAATCATTTTTTTTTTTTTCAAAAAAACCAAAGAGTTTTTATTTACTTTCTATTTTTAGATATATTATTTAATAAAGTTAATAGACGGAAAATGTTGAAAACTGTGTCCTTTCTCTAACCAGTGCCAAATGACACTCTTTCTCACAATAAATAAATACCAGATACGCCATTATGGTTCTAACTAATAAAGAACCATGACAGCATAGTTAGCCATTACCAAAAAATGACCATGACCAAAAAATATGGTACTTATTATATTTATAGGAAATAGGTGTAATTTAATTGAACTCATTTATCTCCTTTACGAATTTAATAGCGCATTATTTTATACTGCAGTCAGCATGAAACAAAATTGTGTACACAGAACTCTAGAAAGGAAAAGAAAAATACGTGTGATAATAGTAGTGACAGCTGACGATGTCTGCCAAATGAACTCTACCACAAAACAAAAATATCTGATGTATACACCCCATAACTTCTTTGTACGTAATATTAAATTATACGTATTTTCCCTGCATTTCATTTAAACTTATTTCTTCGAATTTCATCAGAGATATTATACTTCTCATTCAATTAATTCACTTCTTACATCGCGACAAGGCAAAAATACATAAAACCTCAAAATATTTTTATTATAAATTGAAAAATATGTAACATAAATGCAGTTAAACAATTTAAAGGACAACTTTTACAATTAAAGTTAGAGTTTCTAAGCATAAACAAGCAATTCGGCCGGCGGGCAAGAAGGCATATTTTTCGGTGCACAAAACTGAAAATTTACTTCCGGTCTCACTTGGCAAAAAGACACGCGTAGAAACTGCCTTAATTTGTTGTGGACGCTATGCTGAGTCAATATTTTTCCAACTTTCAATGTTTTTGCCCCAAATTTTTTTATTGTATTTATTAGAGTATTTTTAATATGTTTAAGGATCGATTTTGCAATTAATGAATTAGTTTCTGAGAAAAAAATAAAAAGCACAATTTTATATAAAAATGTTAAAAAAACATGATCTCAATCCTATTTTCATTTCAAATAATTTTTCTTTTCACTATTTTTTAAAACCCATCCTTGTTTCTATTTAGCATATATTTTAAATAAGCAGTAAAAATAATTTAATTCATATCTGTACAAGTTTTAAGCCTTTAAGAAAAATTACAAACTCAGAAAACGCAGTTTAAAGAATGTAAACTGCCTGAAAAATCATTCAATAATTTTAAATTTCTTAAAAATTTTATATCTGAATTTCAAGGCAGATATATATAAAATATATCCTATACTGCTCAATTGACTACTATAAACATAAATTACAAGCTTTTGTTTAAAACCTTATCAGGCTAGAAATATTGCAAAAAAATCATAAAATGCAAGTAGAATTTTGTTTTACCTGTTTTTGTTTTTTATAACGGGTTTAAAACAATTCATGTACAACAATTATAATATATTTCTAAACATTATAATGAATATTAATAACATTAACTTGCCGTTTTATTCATATTTCAAAAAGCAAAATTTGAAGTTTTAACAGGCATAAAACATTTTTTTTAAATATATATAATTTATATTTTAGCCTATGTCATTTCTTCTCTTATTTTAGGCATTTGTTCTCGTATATAAATTGCGTTTTTAATTAATTTATGTGTATTTTAATTAATAAAAGAGTTTAATGTTTGTTCCAGCACTATTTTAATACTGCTACAGTCAGAAACTTGATCACTTCAACATCATTTCTTTCTGTTCGTGTCTTATCACACATAATTTGAATTTTTCAATAAGCATAGCAAAGTTAACTGATAATACACATAAAATATTTACTGAGCTCAATGTTTACATTTATATAAACTTGCCAGTTTAAAGGTGAAGAAAATTTTTTTCCAACTTCACTTTGTATTTAAATAAATTAGTTTATATACATAAGCAAAGTTTGTTGATAGTTGGAGTCATATTTAATTACACTCCTTTTCATTTACTCAGATGTTTAGTAAGTTACTGAAAAAAATTAAGAAGTTAAAAAAAACTAACACTGAGGGGTTGTGGCATATAAAGACCTATTAAAATTTTTAAAAGCCTTTTTATACCATTTATTATCGTCAGATCATTTCAAAATTCCTCTTCAGTGTAGTAAGGGTATTAAAGTATTTTTCCAGCAAAAAATTAAAAAGTCGGTAATTTCATCAATTTTGGGGTACCATGTCCCCTTTCAAGAAGGTATATTTTTCGGTACACAAAACTGAAAGTTTACTTTTGGTCTGACTCGGCAAAAAGACACGCGTAGAAACTGACTTAATTTGTTGTGGACGCTATGCTGAGTCAATATACGGGATAATTTAATTACTTAAATGATAATTCCGGAATGGATTAAGCTAGCTTAATTCGCAATAATAAAAGAAAACGTTGTCTTTGTTGTTGCGAAACTTAGTTTCTCCAGATTGGCAACAAATCCACTATTCTGCTAAGTTTCAAATGTAAACAAATATTGCTGCTATGGTGACAAATATTAGGCACTTAAAAAGCTTTTAAATTGTTGATAATTCTACAATTATTGAATTTAGGTTAACTAAAGGCATAAAAGCTTTAACCGGAAATAAATCAATCATTTTTAAAGCAAAACATGCCCAGTTTACCAACATATTAAAATAAAAAAAACTGAGCTCACCGACCTGAGTAACAGGCTGAGTATACATACATGTTTACAAACTT